CTGAAGTGCCTCCTGAGATTTATTCTGTGTGTAATGGCACCTCTCCTTTTGCTTTCTTGTAGTCCTACTTGGTTGTCAGTGACAAGGCCCGAGACGCGGCTGCTGTCCTCGTGTCCAAGTAAGTGCCCGATTGCCCTCCTGCGGCCCTGTTGGTGGATGTGTGACTGCTGCCTTCTGAGGGGTTTATCTCACACTACAGGCCCAGTGCACGAAATTGGAGCACGGGTAGGGTCCCTGGGCCTGGCCGGTGATCAGGGCCAATCTGTGGGACAACTGGCACCTGCCTTGGCTGGCCTGGTGCTGCCCACTCACCAGCCCCGCCCCCCATTGTTGCCACTGGTCACTTCCCTCTGCGGGGCAACTGGTGGGGTGATTGGGGGGCCCCTGCTGGCACCCGCCTTGGCTGGCTTGGGCCTGCAGGCTGGGGGCAGCTCCTGCATTGAACGTCTGCCCCCTGGTGGTCAGTGTATATCATAGTGACCTGTCATTCCACTGATTATTCCTCCGTTTGTTGATTTGCATATTAGGCTTTTATTATATAGGATATTTAATAGCATACTCCACTATAGGGTGTGAGTTATATAAGAAGATTGCCTAAAGAAAACTATGAATTTACCTTCACGGAGTCCCCAGCTGCATCTCCCCCGGGTCTCCAGCTTTGCTAGAGAGAAACACATAGTTGGTCTCACCTTGCTTTAAATTCTTGAGTTCACATTTAAAATGGCATACAACACTTCCTAGACGTCTCACTCGACTTCCTCATAGGGTTATCCATCCTGTCCTATATTTTCAAGTCCCTTCCACTTCCCCTAACACTCTCCCACTCGCCCATTGCATTCAGGGCTCACTGCCTGTGCTTCTGCTTCTCAAACAGGCCAGCCTCAACCCCGCCTTAGACACTGCATCGTCAGTCCTTGTGCTTGGAGCACCTCCCTCTCCCTCTCAGAAAGGAAAGACCTTTTCTCATCTCCCCTCCACCCCCGCCTCGCTCGCTATTGTCCAGTGTAAACCCCTGCCTAACAGGATAGTATCTGCTTCTTGTTTGTTTGTTGTTTTTGCTTTTTCTTTATCTCCTCTAACCAGAAGGAGCTCCATGGACCAGGGACCCCTCAGAAAAGAAAAGTCATATTCCTGCTCAGCCAGCTAACTAGCTTTTGAACATTTTATGCAAGTTGTTTGGGCTCTGTGTGCCTGTGTTTTCAGCTGTAAACTGAGCAGGATAACATCTATATGGCCTTTTTCATTACAACACTATGAAGTAATAGTGGGAAAGGATTTTCAAAAAGTTAAGTAGATGATGGGTGCTTATTGTATTCATTTATTATTGTTGTTTATACTTTTTACAAAGTATACATTGGATTTGATTTTATATCCCCGACTATACATTTCAACAGAATATTAATGAAGAAACAAAATACTTTATGACAATTTATGGATTCAATGGAATAAAGGATAAAAATTGGAGAAACAATCTGAAGCCACCTTGAAGGAAAAATACATTTTAAAATTCAGACCTAACATGAAAAATTTCCGATCTTATATCCCCACTCAAAAATCAGATAATAGATATAAACACCAGTAGGAGAAGGCAAGAAAATACCCTGGGGGGAAAACAAAGCGGAAACTGAAGTGATATATATTACATTTCTTGATTATCTCCAAATATGGGCACTTGTAACCTAAGGTGTGTTAGTCTCCCAGCTTGTGTCGTGCAGGTCCTGCAGTAATTAATATGTGTCTCAACTTGTTAGAAGTACAGGGATACAGGAATTCAAGTTGCCCTTTCACCATTACTAGTACTTAGTTTAAAATAAAGAAAATCAAAATACAGAAGGTAAAACAATAAAATAAAAAGCTGTGGAAGATTTTTCTCTTCTCTCTCCATAGGAAAATGCATTTTCAAACAAGTTCATGAGAATTTGTGACTTGGCTTTGAGTGCCTGAGTTTCTCTGAGCGCTTAGGGCAAACGAATGAGCACAGATTCTGAGGAAAGACACAACTGGCCCCCTCACCAGAGTGCCTTTCCCCTCATCTGCACTGTTGTTTTCCCCAAAAGAGGGAATTCTCGGGCACCCATCAGGTTGTGCTGACCATCCCAACCAAAGCCTTATTTCCTGTAAGGTTTTAAACATTTCTGTAAGCAAAGAAGTTTGGAGAATTATAAAATAACATGGATTCTTGACACACGGAGAAAGTATGGAAAGTATAAGTGGCTGAACTAAGGGAAGGCGAGGTTTCCTGGAGTTTATATCCAAATCAATCTTCAAGGCAATATCAGCTCTACTTCACCCAGTGGCTTATGAAGCATTTTCACAGTTTTCTGGCTACACAGACCAACAACACCTGCTTTGTGAATTTAATTTGAGAGGAAGATGGAAAAGCTCTACAGAGCCTGGCAAGCTATAAAATGGTTTACTTAGAAAACGCAGATAAATATCACCGCAAGACTGGAAACAGCGAAGACGATCTGTTTTCCTCTAGGGGCGTTGCCTCACTTGTCAGTCTATCCAATCCCCAAGTGCTGGTTGTTTGCTTTATCGAGATTAAGTGTCCAGGTCCAAGCGCTGACGTGTTTAGAAGAAAAGCATTTTAGAGAGGAGGACGCAGGATTCAGGAGCCTGCACTTGCCCCATTGAAGGAGTCATCCCCACTCTGAGCCTCTGAGCACTTAATAATGAAGGGAGAGATGATTAGGCTAACGAAGTCCATCGCTGCTTAGATTAGAACTGTGCCGTGGCTTTGAAAATGCCTTTGACTTTCAGGTTATACCTAATTCACATGTATTTGTTTATGTTGTCAGAGGGGCGATGGTAGGAAAGAAAGACACTTTTAAGTTTGGCATTAGAATCATACATGCTGTAACCTACTGCAGAGACATCTTTGTGTTTTTAATCATTTTATTTTAAAACAAGATTGGAGGACAGCATCAGTTTCAGTAACGCTATGTCATTTCCATTTATTTTCCTTCCTGAATGAGTTGAGTTGTACTAAATTTGGGCAACTACTAGGTTTATGCTTCCAAACACAATAGATTATGAAGTGACCTTTTAAATGAAGTTTCTCTGTAGCCTTCGAATAAGCCACCCCCCCCACCACCACCACCACCACACACACACACACTGTAACACATGAACGTGGGCCATCTGGGTACCTTGAATGCTATTATCCTAAATTTATACCATTCTAATACATCAGTGCCTAGCACTGTGTGACAGGCCGCTCTTATCTCTCCATACGTACTTCACCACACTGACATTAAAGAAAGAAACGAACACTAAATAAATTACTCCGGTTTGGGATCACGTCTCAAAAACAACAGCAACATAATTTTTTATAAATTCAACTATAAATTTAATTACAAGATCTACTTTTTAAAAAAACTTAACCACTGTTTATACTTATATGACACTTTCCCCTTCATCCCACCGCACCTGAGCTTCCTCTCTCTGTCTTGTGCCTGCGGTCAGCTTTCTGCCAGGACTCCATTGACTAAGACTGATTTCACTCACCTTGGGAACAGACATGGATTATTGAGCAGCCATTTGCTCACAGGTTTGTTCTGTGAGTGGTTTGTTTTGTTCCTGAGTACCTGTGAAGGCATGCCCCCTGGCAAATTAAGCCTTTTTAGTAACAGTAGAGGATGGCAGAACCCCATCAGCCTTGTCAGGAGAAGTCCCCTGACCTCATTATTGCTAATGGATCATGGTAATTCAGCCTGTTGTGAAGTCTCCTGTTCAATTATGCAGGATAATGAGTGACTCAAATCGTAATATGTCTCAACTGGGGTCCGTATTATAGGGCTTGTTCAGCTTCTTTCAAAAGTGAAGGGTTTTAAATAGTGGTTCACTCTTCTGTCCCAATGAAAGTTATCACCAATATGCAGACTGTCCTGATTTTAAATATCTGATTTGGTTCCAAAATATGAGAGGATTGCTCTATAACTTTATATTTCACCGATCCTTTTTGTAGGAAAGTTAGGGCAGGTTTACTCATTGGTAAGTGTTAATTCTGAAATTCTAAAAGCATGCAAATGGCATTTGTCTTTGGATTCACAAAAACTCTAGATATTCAGAGTTTGAATTATTTAAGCTCCCACAACACATGCACTTTTGCTTTTCAAGCATGAGTTATAATTTAATTAAAAACTTCTGGTGCGTTGCTAACATTTTAAAAATTAATATGTTCCATGGATCACTTTCTATTATCTGCTGTCTTGAAATTCTTGAAGATGTCAGATTTTTAAGATTCCCAAAGTCACCTCAGAATTGTCTGTTGAGGCAAAGGGGACTGTGATAATTACACACATCCATTAGGATGAACAGAGGAGATAAACTTTGGGGAGGCTTAATGGGCATGTCTCAGTGACAGCTAGCAAAGAGCATTTGGCGTGATAAAGGATGGATTTGAATGCACTTGAAAACATACTCTTATTATGGACACCGGTGGAAGCTGCACCACAAATGTTAAATTCCCCAGAAGAAGATTGGGGTGGCAGGGACGCTTTGAAATCCACTGTGGCCATCACCCAAATTACTCTCTTTCCTTTCTGCCTTCCTGCTGTCAGAATCGTTTTGAGATGCCCAATCCCACTCCCTGTATCTCTGAAAAGAGGCCGCCTGTTGATCTCTGTGTTTCAGATTGTCCGAAGGTACATCAAGGACTGGCTTGAAAGAACAAAGCCTCCTTTCGGTGCTATCAGCAGCAGCGTGCTCCTCATGATCATCTACACCACCTTCTGCGGCACCTTCTCCAACCCGAACATTGACCTGGATAAGTTCAGCCTTGTGGTCATACTGTTCATAAGTAAGTGGGACACGGGAGACCTTCGCTGTCCCCTCAATAGCAAAGCATAGCATGTGTGTTCCCTACATTCATTGTGAATGTTAATTTGATTAGAAAAGAATACTTAGTTTCATACTCTATGTGCTCAGTGACTTTACCAAGTGCATCTGTTTTTTACAAAGACATCAGTAATGATACGCATATGACTTATTCTCCTATGTCCTTTTATGTCTGATTTGCAAGGGTTGATGCCAGGTGAAAGAAGTCATAATATCTGTCCAATTCAAATGTTAAGTTGAGCACTTTTTGACAATTTTATATTATTATAACTTGAGCTACTCTTATTCTTTATCATAAATCAAAAGTAGGATTTCTAATGTATACTATTATTTTATAACAGTTGGTTAAAATGTGAATATTTACATCATTTTCCTATTACAGTATACTCAAAGTAATATCATTTCATTGTAAGAAGTAGCAGACTATAAAATGCTTACCTACTAGGCTCAAAAATTCATGTATGTGTTATCTATAGCTGCTTTCAATTAGAAGGTAGAACAGAATAGTTGCCCTAGAGACCATATGGCCCTTAAGCCTAAAGTATTTTTTTTTAAGATTTTTATTGATGTCAGAGAGGAAGGGAGAGGGAGTGAGAGAGAGAGAGAGAGAAACATCAATGATGAGAGAGAATCATCGATCAGCTGCCTCCTGCACACCCCACACTGGGGATGGAGCCCATAAACCCGGGCATGTGCCCCGACAGGGAACTGAACCGTGATCTCCTGGTTCATGGTCGACGCTCAACCACTGAGCCACGCAGGTCGGGCCCTAAAGTATTTTTTATGTGGCCTTTTAAGTAAACTTTGCTGACTTCTGCTCCAAACTAGAGATGGCAGGAAGAGAGGGAGTGTCCCTATTCTTTAGCCACAGAAGAGGCCAGTCTGGATTTAAAAGTCATTTAATCCTGGCTGTTTCCAACTTCTCAGCCTCTTTCGAGGCACAGGCAGAGCTCAGGACAATATTTTAAAATGTAGTAGGTAATTAAAACATGGGCTGTTAAACAAAAAAAGAAAAGAAATGAAAAGAAATCTTTTGTTCTATTTATCCTGCAATACCAACGACAACTTTTGGTAATTGTAATATCGAAGAATCTTATGTTATTAAAAATCAAGATGAGTTATTCCAAAATATTTATTATATCCTACCACTTATGCTATTTGCTATAAATATTCATAGTATAAACCAGTTGGCTCTAAACTGAACAAATTTAATAACCAAATCTTAAATCAAACAGCGTTTTAGATTTGCCGTGAGTAGTAGACCTCATAGATTGTATCTGGGGATATCTTCAATAAGAACATGCTGAATCCCACTAATTTAAGTGATTGTATTAGTTCAGCAATTTATGCTTGTTTGTTTTTCTATTTGAATTCCTGTTAGTTTCAGATCAAACTAAGCATACCAGTAAATATGCTACAGCCACTGCTTTTATAGTGCTAATGTAGGCTCAATCCTTTTTTCTCCCCAGTATTTTCTATTCAGCTGGGCTTTATGCTTCTAACCTTCATCTTTTCAACAAGGTAAGTGATTTGGTATTTCTTGTTGGTTGTTTTCTAAATAAAGAAGCTTGCTCTTGACGTGACTTTTGCGCCACCATGCTGTTGCAGTTTTTCTCCTGCCAGCCTGGCCATCACTTTCCACCCCGCTCCTGCCGTCCTCCAGGGGAGACCTTAGGAAAGGACCTGCCCATGGCCCTTGTCTCCTCTGTCCACATCGTGTGCTTGGGAGCTCCTCCATTCGACTGGCTCGAGCTGGGAGCTGTCAGCTGATGAATGTAGAGCCCAGACCTGCCCTTCCGATGTCTATCCTGAGTTCCAGCATGACTCATCCCCTACCATTTAGATAACTTCACCTTGTTGTCATCATAACACCTCACACTCAAGATGTTCAGAATGGGCTCCCTCTTTTCCTCCAACACTTTCTCATTTGTTTATTTATTGTTAATGGAACCACCATCCACAGAGGTACTCAGACTAGAATCCTTCACATCATTATTTTTTTTTTAATCTCTTGATCCTACTTCAGTAATATTTTTTGTGCTTCCAAAGCCACTTCCCTAATTCAGGATTTGTTGCCTCTTCTTGCCCTAGGCTATTGCAATGGATATCTTACTGGTATTTTCACTTCCAGGCCTGACTTCTCAATGCATTTCTTACCGCTTGGAATCACTCAGAGTTCTGACAGTAGCACTCATGTTCCGAGAGCTTCATTGGTTACAGAGCCTGCAGTGAAGCTCACTTTGGGGGCTAAGGCAAGGCCAGTCTCATGAACCACCACTGGCAATCTTGCTGCCAAAGCTTTAGGTTGAGGTAAAGGCTTTGCTGCCCTTTGAAAGAACCTCCTGTGTTCTCATCCCTTGCCTTTGCTAAGGCTGTCCCCATGTCAAAATTGGTCTCCATACCCTCGTTCATCTTCCCTGGTCTTAAAGGCTCACCTCTAATGCAGCTTCTTCCATCAGAAATTATGTAAGCCTTTGGTAAGAGGAAGTTACCATAGTGAATGCCAGAAATAAGAAATAATTCCAATCCTGCGTGAGTTATAGACTAGATATATGCATGGATAACTACCTGTCCTGAGTGGTACAGTAAGCCAACCTTAGTCCATTCAAAGAAGAAAGCACCTCCAAAGACAGTAATAGAGCATGGCTTCCTGGAAGAGATGGGGTTTGACCTGGGTCATGAAGCATGGCTAGTTATTCAGCAAACAGAGATGCAGAGAGGGGGTTTTAGTGGGAAAAGAAACAGCAATGCAGATATGGACACACACACACCAAAACACGCTGGGACAATGAGAGTAGAGGGAGTTTAAAAATAATACTATTTGGAAAGGTAAGCTTGGGACAGATTGCCAGCCCCTTGAATGCCAGGTGATGCAGTGAGTTGTCACAAGGGAGGGGGCCGGGCTGTTGGTGAGGCCTGCTAGTGTCAGGGCAGCAGAGGGCTCAGGCCTCGCGTTAGGCAGCTGGCCCCATGGCACTCAGTATAGCAGGAGCTGACTGTAAACAGTCAATGAAGACTTACTGATGGGTGTAATCTGAAGCATTTTTTGCCAAGCCTGTGTTGTGATTTATGAGTAAGTGTAAAGCCTATAGCCATTGAGTTACCAAGAAAGTGTGACTCATTTAGGTAAGTGTGAGAGTAGGAGCTATTTTAAAAGTGTGTTTTTTGTTGTTTCGTTTTGTTTTTTTTTGTAAATGCCTTGTTAGGGCACCTCAGAAAAGACATGTGCCCTTCACTGGCTGTTTGGCTGGTCCTTGTGGCAGCGTGATCATCGGGCCACTCATCCTGCCCTATCAGACTAGGTAGGATGCCATGCCTGTGAGTGAGTATCTGACAAATTCTTGAAAAACACAGAATAGCCACTACTGAGGCTGCTGAAGGAGGGCTGGTGGCATCACAAATAGTTGAATGAAAACAGGATTTTCAGCCTGAAGCAGACTGGACTCTCCTAAGGCCTGTGGTTTTGAGACACTTCTGTTCTGCCTTGTTCTGCCTTCACTGAAGTTCTGTTGGGTTTTGAATGTGCTCAGCCTGGTGTCAGGCATCACATTCTTTGACAAACAAGATATGGGGTGGCTGTAATTGTGTTCCTGGGGAATGGGTGTGTAGCCCCAAATATTCCATCAACATTTGGGGATTTGCAATTGGACAAGATTTAGTAGATGGTTTTCACTTTCACTGTTTTCTTCGTCTCGTGCTGAGAGGCCTTATAACGCCTGGAGATTTTGTTGGAGAAATGAAAATTACCGACATTTAGTGAACCTGCTCAGGGCCGGGCACTGTGCTAGGGATTGTGCATGAGTTATTCCCTGTAAGTCTGACAGCAAAGACTATGATCCCAGGCATTTTTGTTGCTGTTTTGCAGATGAGAACCCACACTTAGAGCAGTTTAGTTTAGAAACTTACCCAAAATCAGGTGACAGATAGCACACCTAGAATTGAAATCCACTGCCACCTGACATTTCCAAAAGCATTGGCCCGTGCTTTTTCTACTGCACTAAATAAACTGCCTCAATTTCTTTAAAAATTCGTAACACTTGTTTTGGTTAGGGAATTTGTAGAGAATGTTTAACTGGATTCTTTAGGTTTATACAGAAACACAAACAAAGACACAAGAAATTGGAACTAATACCCATTGGTTTATATGGTGTTGAATTTAATTTTCTTTTCCCACTTTTTGTTCCTTTCTACTTAAAATTGGTGAAAGTGGCCTGTGGGGCTTTTTTCTTATCAATTCAGTACATCTCAAACCAACCCAGTTATCCAGACACAAAAGTCTCAGCATGGAAAGAAGTCTTTTTTGTACAGCATGTCACTGACCTCCAATGATGGCAGGTTAGCTTAAACCTGGGGAGACCCACCTAGAAAATCCAACTTCCCTGCACCACTCTGCTCCCTGGTGAGCATCGCTTAGCCTGCCTGACCTGGCACATGAGCCTCCTCTGCTCTGAGTATTTAAAATACTCGTGAGAGTTATGACTGTGTTCTCATCTCCCTGTCCTTAGAATAGTGTTCAGGTTTTAAATTCCAACTCTAGAGCCAAACAGACCCGAGTTTCAACCCCGTTTAATAACTGTAACTGTAACTGTTGTGAACTTCCCCAACTATAAAATGGAGACAGTAGTAGTACTGTCTCATCGGGGCATTTGGAGAATTAAATGATGTGCACACAAAGCCCTCAGCATAACACCTAGCATATAGTAAGTGCTCAGTAAATGTTAGCTACTGCAGAATATTTATTATATCAGAATAACATATTATTTCAAGAACTAATTGTGGAAGAGAGGGAATTAGCATTTCTGGTGTTGTAATATATTCTTTTGGACATTTCTGTGTCACTGTTGCTAGGAAATGAGAGTTTATTCATCAAACCAAGACTCAGCCGTCCATGGTGACCTACGCTTTCTATAACTTTGGAAAGCTGTCAAAGTTAAGAAAAAAAAATTGTTGAAAAGGCTTAGAAAAATAAAGCAGTCATTGGGAGCCTTTTAAAAATATATAAAAGACAGTTTGATAAGCAGATAACAGGATAGAAACCTAGAATGTCACTAGAGTGACAAAAGAAAGCATTAACAAGAGAAGAGGAAGAAAACAAATATTCAAATATTCGTGCAGGTCCTTTCATCTTTATCAGTACATTTTTCAATCCCAGGTCTCAGTGGGCCTGGGAGGGAGGGCAGGAGGGAGAGAAGGAAGACAGCCCTGTGGTTAATGGTAAGTCTCTTACCATTTCAGAGTCGAGGCAGCGGAGCCACAGAGCTCTGGAACTCGTTATGCGGCTCAGCTAATGACAGAGGAGATCACCTCCTAAAATGAGTGAAAACAAAACACAGGTCCAGAGGTCAACAAAGGAAAGCACCTCACGTGGACGTTTCCTCTAACAGCACTCACACGGGACCCTCTGGGGAGCTTTTCTGCTCCATATTCTGTGATTCTCCCTGTAAAACCTCTGACATGTTTTCCTTTGTAGGAACTGCAGAGGGAGGCAAACGAAATGCTATGTGGGAAACGTGGATGGAAAGCTCTGTAAGAGCCAATAAAGAAACCAGCTGGAAGGAAAGGAAGTAAACATCCCAAGGGAGGCCAAAGGGATCAAACGAATTATAAAAACAGGATAAAAAGAAAATATTAAAAAGACATAAGGTCGAATCAGAAAATAAATAGTAACGTGATTCAAAAATGTGAGCAGACACGATAGAGATGCTAATCGCTGAAAGTAGAGTCATTACTGCATAAGTGCAGTGCACAGCATGGCGGAGGGCAGGTCACTTCACAAGAGAGCAGCTCTCACCCACTACATTTAGTGGTGGTTTTTCTTTGGCGACGTTTTTTTTTTTAATAATTTTTCTTCTCGGAGGCAAATTTATCTCCAAGACGTGGGGCAGCCTACTTTCTAGTTGTGTGACTTGCAGTTGTGCTTCGAGTTTCCTTTGTGGAAAAAGCAAGGCAATAATACTAGCGACCTTATGAGACTGTTCGGAGAAGGAGAAGTCCAGGCAGCGAAGTGCTTAGAAAACAATCAGCGTTCCCTGCTGTGGTTACTCATCAGCATCAACATCATCCTGAATGGAGGGCTAGGTGAGCGGCGCTCTGTTGGTTTTCCCCAAGGTCTGTGATGTGAAGTGATCTGTTACCTTCTAAATAGGTATAGGCCAGCCCTGTTTAAGGGGAACCTTGTTTCTAACCTTAAACATTCCCCTTGTATTTACTGATCCTCCCTCCAGACTGCAGACCCTGTCAACAGAACCAAGGGGCAGTTTCGCCTGAAATCAGGCCTGTCACCGCCCAGTGGGGGCCGGCTGCGCCTGCTTCCTGGAGCAGAGGCCTTAGCGAGTCCCCGCAGACGTCCTCAGCCACTGTACGCGCTGCTCTGGCCAGTGGCAGCCGCGCCAGCTTAAGTCAGCGCCTTCTTGGCCAGAGAGCTCTGGACACATTGGGAATGCGCTCTAATCTGGAAAGGAACAAATACGAAGCAGAGCAAAGTTCCCCAAAGGAGAGGGTATTGTCAGATTCTCTGGGAAAAACCCAACTGCTTGGATCCAGATGCAGCAACCGCTGGATCTAAACGAGGGAGCAGAGAAGTAGAAGGAAAGGCCTCCGCAGGGTTGCAGACCCAGGCATTGCTGGGCAGTCCACACTCGCCCAGCTGGTTGCGCTGCGTGGTCTGCAGTCAAGGTGGCATTCGTTCCCATACAGCTGGCTGTACATTCTATCCCCAGTCTGCCTACTTCAAGCTTTTCTATGTCTTAGGTTCCTGGGCCTCCATGTTACATCCAATTCTCTATGGGTGAGTGAAGTGCCTCACCCTTTACAAAGAAAGTAAAATCTCTGATATAAATTGCCTCCATTTTCCCATTCTCCACCTGGAAATTTTCTGTAGTTTTCACTCACCTTGTCATCTCTTGTTCCAGCTCAGACCGGAGAAAACAGCCCCTCGGAGGCTAACACCCCTGTCTCATCCTCTGGGACCTCTCTGAGGACCTGGCCTCCCCCGTTGTCTCTCCTGCTGCATCTTCCCTCTCTAGGTGATCACATCCCCATGGCCCTCTTCTCCTCTTCACCAGATTTCCTGAGCACACTCTTCCCTCTCACCACTTCCAGTTCAGTGCACCTGGACATCAGCTCCCAGGCTCCCCCCAGACAGCACTGGGCCCGCCCATCCCCCACTTCCCACAATGCCTTGATGCCTTTCTCAGTCCCATATGCTCAAAGCTTCTCATCTCTTCCATCCCTCCTCCTTTGACAAAGCAACAGTAACAGTAGAATAACTAGCAAGCACTAAACACTGCAGCGTGCCAGGTTCTAAACAAACACTGGCGTTTATCCTGAGGGTGACCCTCAGAAGCAGGCACTATCATCCCCATGTTATGTCCAAGCAGAGGATGGTCTGAGTTTAAGTTCTTGTGCATTTGCCCCAAAAGCCTGTGCTCTTAAGCTGTTGGGAGGCAACATTTATTTCATAGAGGCCAACACTTGTCAAGTTCTTTAAATCTGTCTTCATGTCTCGTCCCACCACCTCCTCCCCCGCTGTGCTTCATGGGTCACCTCGTCATCTTCGGTCTCACACCAAGCTGTGTGCTTACTCCTCTTCCTCCTCTGGCCCCACTTACCAAGGCCACATTCCTTGTCACAAGCCAGTGTCCCTGCGCACAGTCAGCCTGGAGAGCCTACACGTGTGTCTGCCTGTTCTTTAAAGTCCAGCCCACTAGCTGTTTCCTTCAGGAAGGTTCTTTGTGCTCCATCACCACCCACTCCCCTGCCACGCTTGAGAGAAACCTGGCCCCACTCCAAATCACACCCCCACCACCACCACTCTCATTCTCTTTCTCTTTTATGGAGTATATACCTGTCTTCCTTTCCTCCATGCTCACAGGACCTTAAGGGGCTCCTTTCACATTTGGCCTCCATGATGAATGAAGGACTATGTGGGCCAATTAGTATAATGTTTACAGAATAAGTGTGGGCCCTAGCCAGTTTGGCTCAGTGGATAGAGCATCAGTCCGCAGACTGAAGGGTTCTGGGTTCAATTCTGGTCAAGGGCATGTACCTCAGTTGCAGGCTCAATCCCTGGCCCTGGTTGGGTGGGGAGGGGAGCCACGTATACAGGAGGCAAACAATCCATGTGTCCCTCTCACATCAATGTTTCTCTCTCTCTGTCTCTCCCCCTCCTTTACACTCTCTCTAAAAATGAATGGAAAAATATCCTCAGGTGAGGATTAATACAAAAAAATTAATTAAAAAAATTAAACAAACAATAAGAATGGTATCACAATATAAATATGAGGATGAAATGTAGTAATGGCAAGGCAATCTTATTATACTCAAGTGACATATATCCACGGAGGATTCTCAGCTGAGGGGGACACCAAAACTGCAGTTTGGAAAGTTGTTATCAGAAAAAGAGCTGGACATAAGACCGTTTAGGAAGCATGAGCACATGGGGCATTTCAGAGGCGAGAAGACCGAAGGGCAATTAAATGCTGTCAACCTGTGAACTGGGGACAGGGAGGAGGCCCTCGCAGGAGACGGCCCTTCTCCCTCCAGTGAGTGTGTCACAGAGAAAACAGGATGTGGGGACCTGTTTAGGGAAGAGTGCTCTTCCAATAGAAGTCATAGATGAGGCTGAGGTTACTAAAGGAAATGGTGGGCTCTCTTTTTTTGGAGATCCTTAAAAACCGGATAGAGTGCTACATCTGCAGCTGTATGCACGCTGCCGGGTCTAGCGCGTCTTTCCATTTGCTGACTCTTGTCTGGGTCCAGGGCAGGGGATGAACGGACTCACTGTGGCTTCACATCCTCGTTCTTCAGGAAGGAATCGTCTCTAACATGCCAAGGACACAATGATAATAATGACATTTCTAGCCTCTGTCCTGGTCTCTAAATTTCTATAATCTGAATATGATGTTCACCAGTACTGACCCCCATACCATTTAATGGCTTTGGCTAAGTGAGGGTCTTTTCATGCTTAACATACTATCCTATCTAATAAAAGAGAAACATGGTAATTGGTGTACAACTGCTACCCTTCCCATTGGCTAATCAGCGAGGTATGCAAATCAACTGACAGCCAAGATGGAGAGCGGCAGCCAGGCAGCTTAAACTGAACATGAGGCTTGCTTGCTTCAGTGACGGCGGACTCCAACGTTCCCCGCCTGCTGTTTCAGGCCTCTGAGCGGGCAGTTTGAAACATAGTAACATATAGAAGCTAAGAAAAACTCCAGAAACCTGCTTTCAGCGAGCAGGGATCTCAGAGCTGGAGTTGATACAGAGTTTCGATTGTAGAACACAAACAAGTCTGGGTCCGAGGGTTTCCGCTTTTCCCAGCAGCAGATGTCACAGAACTGGAGCCACAGCTAAAGCTGGCCCAGAATAAAAAAAAGAAAGAAAG